TGGCAGGGTGAGAGCCTGAAGATCCCCAGTGCTCAGTGTAGCTCCTGTACTGGTGAGTGGTGGCAGCCCAGCCTGGGCCGACACACTATGTGTGGGCCAGGTAGTCACCTAGACCCCAGAGGGTGCCTGAGGCTTTGCCTGCCTTGCACACTAGTCAGGGAGGCAGAGCCCAGACTCATGGGGCTTCCCGAAGATGTCCGGAGCTCAGCCCAGCCCAGGCAGACACACTATGAGTATGGCGGGTAGAAACTGAGACCCTAGAGGGTGCCCGAGGTTTCGCCTGCCTTGCATGCTGGTCAGGGAGGCAGAGCCCAGACTCACCAGACTTCCCAGTGATGTCCAGGGTTCAGCCCAGAGGGTGCCCGAGGTTTCGCCTGCCTTGCACGCTGGTCAGGGAGGCAGAGGCCAGGCTGACTGGGCTTCCTGAAGATGTCCGTGGTTCAGCCCAGCCTGGGGCGACTGTGTGTATATTTTAAATGTAAATGTACTCTAAAAAATCTGAAAAGACACATCTCAAACTTTAATTTTAGGAGATTAGCTTTAGGTTGGAGGAGTACAGCTCAGTGGACGAGCGTGTGCTTAGCATTTAGGAGGCCCTTGATTCAATTCTCAGCAGCGTATGCATGCAGTACACACACGCACACTCACACACACAGTTTACCCGGAGGGAAGGGGAAGAGTCAGGCTAATGGTTACATTGCCTTTTTTTTCTTCTGCAATTTTTACCTTTTTCCCCACAGTAAACATGTATAGTTGTATTATACTTAATATTTACGATAGAAATGAGTTTTGTTTATACTTCAGATGTAAGCACAATATGTTCGGTGGAAAAATTTTCTAAATACTCTAATATACTCTAATTTTCCTGTCAAAAACTTCAAGATCCCTACCTTTTAAAAGTGAAGATGCCTCATTTCTAATTCCTTCCTGCTTGCATCCGTAGCCTCCCCTCACTGTTGCATGCCTGTAATCTGCTCTGTCTTGCACCATTGGACTTCTTAGATAAATGTCAATGCTTTAAATATTTTTGTATTGTTTTAAGCATCCACATTTATGGGGACATTGGGAATAGTCATACTTTTTAACTAATATATCCCTGTTTTTATTGATCCTTTATTCACTTCAAAGGTAGGTATACAGGCTGTACCATTTCTGGTAATGTAAAGAGGCAATTTCATGTTTCATGTAATTTTCTGAGGCATTTTAGAGAATCTTTGTTTTTGTTTTTGTTTTTGTTTTGAGGCAGGGTCTCACTGTGTGGTGCAGGCTGGCCTTGAACTCACAGCAGTCCTCCTGCCTCAGCCTCCCCAGTGTTGGAATTACAGGCGTGAGCCACCATGCCTGGCTAGAGTCTTAATACATAATGCAGTTTTAGAAAAAACTTGTTTTGTTGCAAATTTTGTTAATGTGCAGGAAACATTTATTTCAGTATGAGATAATTCAGTGATATTAATAGTCTCTTTAGGAATCAGCACTAAACTTTAGAGCAGAACATCAGTAAGACTTGTGACGGTGCAAATGTTCTGTATCCTTTGTCCAGAACGGTAGCCGTAAGACTCACGTGGTGTTGACCATTTGATCTGTGGATAGTGTGAGGAAAAAACTGAATTATTTCATGTAATTTTAATTGAATGTACTGGAAAGAACAGGTTGAGAAAATGTCCTTTGACATTTTTCTCTGTGCTCTTTGGCACATGCAAAACTAGGGGTATGTTTCTGAATTTCCTAGAACCTTGGCAGTGACCCATAAAAATGTTTTCTGTTTTGTAATCTACCGTAGTTACAAAAGCTATAACTAATATAGTTATGATAGTCTTTTCTTTACTATGTTTTCTAGGATGTGTAAAAATAGGTAGTGATTCCTGGTATATAATGATAAGAGACTAACATTCATTATTTTTTGCATGCTTTTTTTTTTTCCAGAGATGGAAAATAATGTCCTGCAAGATGAGGATTGAGCAACTGAAACAAACAATATGTAAAGGAAATGAAGAAATGAAGAAAAGTAAGTAATTTGCCTCTCTTACTCTGGCCCTAATAAAGGCTTCCTATGGCATTTCCTGGGATTGAAACACTAGAGGCCACTTGAGGAGAAAAAGAGTGGGAACAAGTGACTTGGAAAGGGTTATGATAAGCTGAGCTTCCTTATCTGAAATGCTTGGAACAGGCTTGTTTCAGATTTTGAGTTTCTTGGGATTTTGCAGTATTTGCATATACATCAATGAGATATAGGATCCACATCTAAAAACAGAATTCATTTTTGCTTTATATACATTTTCAATGCATAGTCTAGAGATCATCGTATATAATATTTTCAGCATACCTCTACTTTGTGCCCTGTTACATGAGGTTAAGTATGGAATTTTTCGCTTCTGACGTGATTTTGGCACTCAGGAAGTTGGATTTGGGGGCATTTTGGGTTTCAGATTTTCCTGTCAGTGATGGTCAACCTGGACTTGCCTGCCTTTCTACTGGAAAACATTTATATAAAGAATTTACATCAACATAAGATTATGGATACCTTCAGTAATCTGCTGCCTTCTTGGAAATATTAAGGGGTCTGGGGATATAGCTCAGTGGCACAGTGCCTGCCTGGCAAGCGTGAGGTCCTGAGTTTGATTTCTGGTTCCAAAAAAAAAGAAAACATGATAGAAGGGCTGGGGATGAGCTCAAGGGGTAGAGCTCATGCTTTGTGTGAATGAAGTCCTTAGTCCGATCCCCAGCATGACTAAATAAAACTATTAAGAAATATTTGCTCTCCTTTGCCTTGGCTAATAGGAAGTGCAGAGTCTTAACTTGGTATACTTGATCAACTCAAAATAATCACCAGTTTATGCCAGGAGCACAGAATACTGGCTTTCCCCCTTATTGACTCTCCTACATGTTTTAATCTGTACTGATTTTGTATTACATTTGAACACTTTATATGATTGTCAAAATTTGAGTCCTCTGAGAAATCTTACATCTAAGGATGTAAGCATGTATTTCTGAAAACAGTGTTAAGGTTTTGAGTGAGTCATCTTTGTGCCTCATGAATCCTTTTCTTGTCTTCAGATGCAATGGAATGTTATTCAGAGCTTCCTTTGACAGTGTTTGTGCTCAGGAGGTCCTTGAGTAGAGTTGCTGTGGATGAAAAGCTAGTGAAACAGGGCAGCATGGTGCACAGACGCTCAGCACTGCGGGCAGCCTGTGGTCACTGAGCTCTGCTTGCCTTCTCCATAAGCTTGGGTTCAGTAGCAGGATAGAACCTTCCTAGTTAATGTTGGTTTCATCCTCCTTGATGTTCAGACCAAGCTTTGCCCCAGGCATCTGCAAAGTGTCTCCAAGTACAGAATGTACTGAGCATGTACATCTCTCTGATGAACAAGTTTAAAGCTCCAACCAGTTCTTTTTTTACAAGTTTCTAATCCCCAAAGCAAAAAATTCCAACCACATAAAAAACATGGACCCTGCATGTAACAAGGTGGTTTATACCTGTAATCTCAGCAGTCTAGGAGGCTGAGGCAGGGGGATCACAAATTCAAGTCCAACCTGGGCAGTTTGGCAACTTGGTCAGACCTATCCACCCCTTCTCTCTTTATTTTGTTGTTTTGAGGCAGGGTCTCATTGTGTACTCCAGACTGGCCTTGAGCTCACTATGTAGCCTAGGCTGGCCTTGAATTCATGGTGATCCTCCTGCCTCAGCCTCCTAAATGCTAGTATTGTAGGTATATGCCACCACGCTTGGCCTGGACCTTGTCTTTAACACATAAAAAAAGGGGGCTGGGGATTTAGCTCAGTGGCAAAAGCGCCTGCCTGGCAAGCGCAAGGTTGTGAGTTCGGTTCCCGGTACCAGAGAAAAACAAACAAACAAACAAAAAACACATAAAAAAAGGTTGGAGATATAACTTGGTGCAAAGGCCTTGGGTTGAATCCTCAGTACCAAATTACCTGCCCCCCTCCTAAAATAAAACCAAAAATTATGGCCTTAAGGTAGTGGACTGTGTAACAGAGATTTCTGTCCCTAGTAAATCATCATTCACCTGGTGATCTTTTTATGGTCTAAAAAATCCTGGGCTCAACCCTAGACTTAGATGAATTATCACAGTTTGAATGGCTTGCCATGTTTAGGGAAAAGGTTTCTGCATGCTTATTCTGGATTTCTGTATTTGTGTGGGTCATACTGAGGCTCCAACACAGGCCTCACACATGCTAGGCAAGTGCATACCCCCCAGGCTACACCTGTTACCCTGTACTTCTTTGGTAATGACTGGAACAGTTTGCAGAGTGGCTGGGTGTGCTGGCCTCATTTTGAGCAGTGCTCCTCAGCATGGCTCTGATGGGCTGTCAGGGTTGGGAGCTGGTGTTCTCTAGGAGGTCAGTGAAGTCTTGTTCCCATGTTTTGGACCACACTGGCGCAATATTGCAAAGAATTATAAAGCAGTGGATTTCAGAGGTGATGCCAGTACTCTGTGAAACTGTTGTTGAAGTAGTATTTGTTCAGATAATGAGTGTGAATTACAAACTGTAGAGCCTAATGAATTCCTTTTCCAGTGTCTTTTGGCTTAGTTTCATGATACAGTATAATGCAGGTGCATTATATGGCCTAGATAGGGAAGTTAGGTTATATGCAGTTGTGGGGTTGAATTAGTTATTGATCTCAGAGCTACTTATCCAGAGAAGCAAGATCAGATTATCATAATAGCATGAGACATTTTGACATTTTGGGGGAGATGGCAGGGAGAGGATAACTCTGAGTTCTAAGCCAGCACTGGTTGCAGTTAGGGTGACTGTGGTGATTTCTTGCCATGAGGGGTGAGGTGTGATACTAGATTTGAAACTGTGCTAAAAGCTATGCTGATGCAGGACCATGGCTGGACAGATTGATGTGAGCGCCTATGAAGAGCTCAGTGGAGGGGCTGGGGATTTAGCTCAGCGGCAAAAGTGCCTGCCTGGCAAGCGCAAGGTCGTGAGTTCGGTTCCCGGTACCGGAGAAAAACCAAAAAAAAAAAAAGAAGAGCTCAGTGGAGATTGTGAAAAAGAACGAGCTCCCGGAAAGTAATATAGAACCAAGCCCCTTATGATAGAACCAAGAGACATTCACATTGAGCAGGGACAGTGAAGAGATGCATCTGAGGAGAAACAGCTCTGAGAAACCTCAGGCCTATACCTAAGGTCCTCAGGAAGAGGGCTGTCGGGTGCTTCCCTGGGTTATATGCTGGTCTGGTGGGACCTGGCCTGAGGAGCTAAGAACTCTGTACCATAGGAGAAGGCTGAGCATGGCATAAGAGTGCTGAGGAGCAGTGCTGGGCTGTGCTTATGGGAGGGCGTTTGCTGAGTGAGAAACATCAGGAACATAGGGGCAAGTAGAGCAGAGCCCCCCAGAGTTGTCAGTGTGAGCACAGCATTGTGGAGGTGAATGTCTGGGGATGATGGCTGCTTTAGTTTCCCTTCCTGTCCAAGTGCTTTTTTCTTGTGGGAAGAATCCAAGCGGGGAGTAACTGAGCATGCAGCATGAGGTCTGCACGGGGAGCTATGAGACACCAGGTTGGGGTAACCTGTATCTGAGAATAGCTGAGTGTTGGCTGTCAAGTGAAAGAAGGCCTGAATACCTAGAGCTGAATCAAGCTGGAGACATGAATGGCAGCTGAATGGTGACTAGGGTGTTGATAAATGTAGGCAAAGCCTTGGTGGAAAGGATTTGGGAGGGCAGCTAGTGGACAGCGAACAGCTCAGAAATAAGGGTGAAATTGGGAAGGTGGCTTATGTACCATTTGGAAGTTTTTCTGGAAAAGCTATGAACTTGGTTTTGAACTTGAGTATGCAATTCCTGGATTTCTGTCTGAGAGTATGCAATGTGTTGTTACTCCAGTGAAGCAAAAGCTTCAGCCCTGTGGCCCATGCAGGTCTTAGGATCCAGAACCTGAAAGAGCTCCACAAATGGACCTAAGTCTGCCAGGGTGCATGAGTACCCACCCTCTCCTGTTGTATGAATGGGCTTCTATTTTCCCTGTAGCATGTTGTGTGTTTGTGTTTGAACAGCTGTGCGTATACTGCTCTGCCTCTGCCAGGGGCTGCTGTACTCCTGACTTCAGAGCTCTGGGGCTGTTCTGCTGTCTGTTCTCCTGGTGTGGCATTATTCCTGGGTCCCCTGATTCTAAAGGCATGTCTGAGAGGTTTCTAAGGAAAATCAGATTACCAGTTTTTCAAACTGGAGTTCTGCCCATTGTGACTGTTTTTGGGTATCAGGTGCTTCCCATGCTAACCTTGAATCTGGTCATTACTGAGTGGCTCATTGCAGTAATAATTACGAATGGAGACCCACGATCCTGTTAGCAGTGATCTTTGCTTTATGTGTAATATCTTCTTGAACTAATTTGTGGGATCTTCATGTTGTGAACAGTAGTGGGTTCTACTGAGGTTTTGCTTTCAGCTTAAATTGCAAGGGAAACATGCAGTGCTTGTGGGGTGTGGCTGCGCACTACGTGGAAACTATTTGCAGAGGTAATTGTTGGGTATGATTTATGTATCTTAGATTCGGAAGGTCTTCTCAAAACCAGGGAAAAGAACCAGAAGCTTCACAGCCGAGCACAACGGCATCAAGAGAAAAAGGAAAAAATTCAGAGGCACAATCGCAAACTTAGTGACCTGGTAGAAAAAAAAACTCTTGACTTACGAAGTCATTACGAGCGTCTCGCAGACCTCCGGCGATCCCACATACTAGAGCTCACCTCTGTCATCTTCCCAATTGAAGAATTAAAGACCGTTGTGAGGTACAGTATGAAAGGCTTTTGACCCTAGGTGTGTCACTAACGCCCTTATTGGGCCTCACTCTAGTGTCACTGGTTTTCCTGGTTGTGAAACTTGAATCTTATCTGTTTTAGCAAACTGTATGCTGCACAGCATGGGCAAGAGGGCAGGCCCCTGTGTATGCTGTCCCTGAGCTCCTGGGTGACACACTGAGTCACACCCCTGGTTTGCAAACACGTAGTGGCTTGTGTTGGTTTTGTTCTCAGCCAGGCTGTTCTATTAGTTGTGTGCTATGAGGCACATTCTTTTACCTCAGTCTGTTTCATCATCTGTTAAATGGGGATTGAAAAATACTACTTCCTTCACCGTGAAATCGTGAGCTAACGTGGCTGAAACACCTAATGCTCGGGACCTCGTGGTTGGTGGGCACCACATGCTGCCCTGGTCTTTTGCTGGTAAATGGCATTGATTACTGCTGTTGAGACTGCCCCCCCCCACCCGCCCCGGCCACAGACACACTGGAGATTGAACTGAGGGACTTCACACTGAGCTACAGCTCCCCACCCGTTCTTATTTTGAGATAGTCTTACAAAATCATGAAGTTACCCAGGCTGGGCTTGAATCCAGATCCTCCTCTCAGAGTTGGGATGACAGGCGGCATATGCCACCATGCCCAGCTTATAATACCCTCTTGGTGCTGTTGTGGATCAGCGGATTTAGAAATCACCACCAAAGGCTTTCGTGGTCTCATAACCCGCCGGGCTGTTGGAGTGTGGAGGGTTTGGTCTCTCTTAGCTTTCTCCTTTCCAGCCCTTGGGTTGGATCTAATGGTGAACTCCTGCTTGCTTGTAGTTCAATCTGGTTTTTTGTCTCTTTCCATAATTGGCTGCCTAAAAACCAAATGTTTTGATTTTCTGCTTCCACCTTGAAAATCTGCTGACTCTTGCCAAATAGTTTGTCATTAATAAGAATTAGCAAATACAAAAGCAAACAAAAAGGCAAGATTTAAAATACAGCAGAATGGAAAGTTCTAAATTTTGGATTTTGGATCAGTGAAAAAAAGTTGGATTATTCAAAAATGGGTGTAAAGACAGCCGGCCACACCTTGGAGAGGGTAAAGGTAGTGAAACAGAAACATGCCAAATTTAGTTCTGGTAGGTCACTTATATCAATATTAAAATACATTACAGGAGAAAAAGACAAAAGTGCTGTTGCAGATTTAGGAGCCCAACAACTGAATGTGCTGTGTGATCCTGGTTTGGATTCTAGACCCACAGAAGGACATCAGCAGGACAATTGGAGTGACATACTTGACATACTTGTTCTGTAGAAGAGTTAATAGTATCACAGCAGTGTTGATTACTTGTTTTTGATATTTGTATTTTTCTGTGTTGATAATTGGGAGAAATTTGGTGAAGTAAATGTAGGAAAACTTTATAATTTATGTAACTTTTCTGTAGAGCTGACATCCTTTTCAAAAGAAAACATGTATATACATACAGTCATGTGCCACATCACTTTCCAGTCAGCAACAGACCACATACATAATGGTGGCTCTGTAAGACCCTTACCTAGTGACATTCTGCCTGTTGTGGGTTGTGTGTGCACTTTCTGTGATGTTCGCACAGTCGTGAACTTGCCTGATAATGCATTATCAGAATGAATGCCCTTTTAGTGATGTATGACTATCTAGTATGTATATACTAGGAAAGAAAATGAGAAAACTTGCCCTTCTGTGCTAGCACCATTTTATAATCATTTTCTAAAGCAGTGCTTTTGAAATTAGCACTGTAAGATTTCCTGTTCATTTTCATTTCTGTAAACTTTCTTGGCTAGAAGAAGACAGGTAAAAGGACAGCTCAGAGTTGACCACAGGGCCCAGCATTAAGTTACTATGGTATCTTGGCAGAGAGGGAGAAAACGTGAAGAACCATTTGCCTTGAGAAAGGCGCATAGGCCCTCTCTCGGCTGCCTGCATCCTACCAACTTGTCCGGCTCTGTCTCCTGGCACTGTGTGTGCGTCTGACTCACCAGCCACACAGGACATCTCTTGCCCACACACCATGTTCTTTCGCCTCAGTCACTTGTATCCATGATGGCTTTTCATGGTGGATTTCTGTTCTGCTGTTTTGGGCAATAGGCCTTTGAGACCTGTTTAGAGTCAAGAGCACCTTCATAATAATACTGACACATTTTTTCTTTTTCACTGTGCTCACATTTGCATTAGTGGCTCAGAAGCCATGGCAGAGACATCTGGCACCTGTGTGTATTACCCCAATTTGAGGCAGGAACACCAAGCTGCAGTGATTGTCATTATGGATTACTACACATTTGCAGTCCCTCCCCCCAAAAAAGCTACTTTTGCTTAAGAATTTCCCTGAAGAAACAGTAAAAATGAGTCATTTTTCAGTTTTTTCAGACACAGTCTCAATATGTAGTTCAGGCTGGCCTTGTAGTTCAGGGCTGTGTAGCCCTGGCTGGCCTCAAACTCATGGCAGTCTTCCTGCCTCAGTCTCTCAGAATGCTGGGATCACAGGCGTGCACCACCATGCCCAGCTTACCATCAAATTTGGACCCTGGAGCATGCATCCAAATGCACTGTGGAATGAGGGGAGTGGGCAGGAAGCACTGTTGCCGCACACTGAGGCATGGAGCTTGATGCGCAAAGTGCTGGACTGAGCTGCAAGCTGAATTTGCTGCTGTTCGTATGGGCACTATTTTCATTTGAAAGGAGACTGATAGAGTTTAACTTGATCCTTTGAAAACTTAAGAGTTTTTCATTGAAATCTATGTTAACATGTTATTTACTGTTACTTTTTAATTATTTAAATTTTTCTCAGTTTTAATTTCTGATGCAGCAAATGGTTTGATGATATAAGCAAGCTTCACTTGGGATCCTGAAATACTCCAATCATGTAAAAGAATGTGGAAACCGAATACGTTGAGGTGCTGCTACCTTGGGCTCTACCTTGGGCTCATTGTGCCCTCTTCTTCACATTTGTGGGGGCTTCCTGCCGAGGCCAGTTCGCGCTTCATCTTTGGTAGAAATCATGCACCTCCGTATCTTAGTTAAGTTCCCCTGCTCAGGGGCAACTTTGTGTTGCTCTGCCACGTATGAGAAGTATAATTCCTGCTCGCTTACTAACAGTGCCTATTCGGGGTGTTGTTGTAATGTGTGTGACCTGAGTGCTGTGGGAGCTGAGGCAGAAGAGCAAACATTCAAGCCCAGCATGGGGAAGTTGGTGACTTAGGGAGGCCACATCTTAAAATGAAAACAAGTAAGGGCTGAGATCAGTTCAGTGTGAAGGCCATGACTTCAGGTCCCAGGACAGCAAAACACAAACAATAAAGTCTGTCTCTGAAACATGAATGCATTTCTCACTTCCAGAGACCCTGCAGATGGGTCTGCAGAGAGCGAGAGCACCATGACGTCCAGCACTGTGAGCAAGCTTGCTGAAGCCCGGAGGACAACCTACCTTTCAGGACGGTGGGTCTGGGACGACCACAACGGCGACACCAGCATTAGCATCACGGGGCCCTGGATCAGCCTGCCAAACAATGGGGACTACTCCGCCTACTACAACTGGGTGGAAGAGAAGAAGACAACACAGGGGCCTGGTAAGAAGCAAGATACTTGAAAGTTGCATGTATGTATTAAGATAAACTGTAGGTATCGAAATCACCAACTTTAAAGTGAACAGCTCAGTGGCATTCTATATTGGAAATGTGCAGCTGTCAAAAGCGGTCGTCACTAGGACTGAACGCATGTGGCGTGAAGGTGTGGCAGAGGCCCAGGTGACTCCACAGACAAGCAGAGCCGTGACTCCACAGCCTTTCTCTGGCTTCTTTCACAGGGTTACATTGTGGCAAGTATTAGTTGTCTGTTGGTTTTTGTCTATCTGTTCATCACTTGATGGACTGAAAACATACATGTTTTTATTTTTTTTATTTTTTTTTATTTTTTGAGGGTTGGGGTTGAGACAGGGTCTAGCTATGTAGTTCAGGCTGGCCTTGAACTCACTGTGTAGCCCTGGCTGGCCTTAAACTTTGGCGATCTTCCTGCCTCAATTTCTGGAGTGCTGAGATTGTAGGTGTGTACCATTGTGCCTGGCTGAAACATATTTTTAGGTATTTCACCTTTGGGGGTTAATATTTGTCTTGGTTACTCTTCTCTCGTTGCTGAGACAAAATACCCAATGCCCAAAATGAAGGAAGGAAAGGTTTATTCTAGGTCATTTTTTTTGGTTTTTCTCTGGTACTGGGAACCGAACTCACGACCCTGTGCTTGCCAGGCAGGCGCTTTGCCGCTGAGCTAAATCCCCAGCCCCTAAGGAAAGGTTTATTTAGCTCACAATTTGTGGAGGTTTCAGTCTATACTTGGCTGGCTCTGAGGCAGAAGATAGCAAAGCAACAAGAGCAAAGGGGGATTGGTGGCCAAACAGCAAACAGTCAGAGCAAAAAGGGGGAATGGCTGTAAGCAGCCTCTTTGTCTCCCTTACGTTGTAAACAGGCTAACCCCACCTAAGG